AATTTCATGTTAATTTTTAATTCATAGCTTCAATTTAAATTGGGTTAGCTCAGTTTGTTTAATATATATTCAAGCTGAAGTTAATTCTGCCTGGAAATTAAATTAAGCCAAAATATCGGTTCATGACTTGGCAAGTTTAGCTCTTTTCAAATCTGAGCTAAAATCTCAGCCTACTTATAATTTCATAAAATTACATTAGTAGTATATATTTAAATAACGAATAGTTAAAATAAAATTATTTTAATAAAAATTTAAATTAAAAAAAAAACATGAATTTTGAACCCTTTTAAAATAATATATGTTATGTATTATATTCTCACGTTTCAAAGAACAATCCATGTGCTTTCTTCTTGGCATATAAAGAATAATTTTTTAATAATTATATTTTATGATTTCTATAACATTTGTAATGCTTAAAGAATCAATTTGAAAAATGAGCTTTCTCCTAAATATTTTAAAAAATAATTAATCATAAATCAATCTTATTTTATTAATATATTTAGTATAAAAATTATGATTTTATAACTTTTATGAACTATTTCTTTCATAATAAAAACAATTATTATTTAAACATAATTTCAAATCTTATAATTATTTATTAAGATATATTTTTAGTAATTCTCAACTATAAAAGTTCATTTCAAAATTTAATCAAGTATATAATCAAATTTGGCTCATTTGTTTGAATGAATACAAATTAATCTCAAATTAAAATTTTATTAGCTTCAAATAGAATTCATAAATATTTAAAAATAAATAATATAAAAATAAATAATAAAAATTCAATCAAAATTATATAACTCTCAATCTTCATTTCTTATTCTCCCATATATGTTATATACTTATATGGGCTATTTCCTTCCCTATAAGGTAGGTGGGGTCGGAGGCAACGTGGCAGCACAAGCCTTGTGGGCCTTAGCCTACCAAGAAAAGGGTGCCCTGCACACGCTGGCGCGTGCCGTTTGCCCTATACCACTCTCTCTCTCTCTCTCCCCGTCTGCGATCTTTCTCTTCTCTTCTCTCTTTCATCCATCGTCATCTATACCTCCAATCCAAATACAAATCCATCTAAACCCTAAAACGAAGGATCTAAGAAGAGCGTTGGGACCCTTTCAACTGCTTAATTTCGAAGTATTTCCATATTCGATTGAAGCAGCTCATTGAGGTATCTTCATTTGTTCCCACTCCTCCCAAAAAATCTCAACTTTTACTCCCTTCTCCTTTCTTTGTCAGTTTGCTCTGCGATGATTTTTCTCTTTTTTTTTCCAGTTATTCATCAAGCTTGCGTTTTCGCTCAACTTTTCTCAATTTCTCCCTCTTTCTTTTTCATTGTCTGACAGATAAAAATGGATTTTTGTTGTTTTTTTACAGCTATTTTGATCTTCAACTGTGAACTTTGGACGATTACTTATCATCCTAACTATGAAATTTAGGGTTTTCATGCCTTATATGCGCGTTGAAACCGAGCTTATTTGACAAACAGGATTCATTGATTCAGAACTGAGAACTGAGCATGGTATCAGAAGCTTGCCCGTCTATGGGTCGCGTTGCTGAAAAGCCACTTAATGGGTCAGTTGCTAACTATGGTTTTATAATTATCTGATGTGATCTGTTTTCTGTGATTCATATTCTACATTGATCCCATTACTGTGTTGTATTTGATTAGAAGAAGAACCTGGTCATTTATAATCATTAATCAGCACATAAAACATCTTCCCAGTGGTATCTTAGTACCCATTGACTTAACTAGGAACCACAAAATAATAATCCTCCTTTCAGATTATCAATTTGATGTTTAATCAGCTTAAGCAGTTAGATAAATTAAGGCTCCGTTTGGGACTGTCTTCTTCCTACTTCTTAAAACAGCTTTTGAGTAACTTTTATACTCAAAAAATGTTTTAAGAAGCAGTAAGAAAGCTGTCACAAACAAAGACTAAGGCTTCGTTTGGGACGACTTTCTTGCCGCTTCTTAAAGCAGCTTTCTAATACAAATATTTTAATTTGTGTACTAGAAAGCAGCTTTAAGAAGCAGTAAAAAAGCGGTCCCAAACAAAGTCTAAAACTTTTAATTGTTAACATTGATTACTTCTATGATTTTGGTTTTCTTCATTGTGCATGAGGTTTTTGGCCTATTTTTCTTCAAGCTTATTCAAATTCACCATAATTTGGATGACATTACATGTTATCAATCCTTGTGAGTAAGCTTATGAACTCAAACAAACATTTTCAAACCAAATTGGAAGAAGGTTTAGGTATGTTTCATCAATTTGCCAGAGATATCATATATGATTTCTTTTATAGCTATAGGATTAAACCCTAAATATCCTTATGATTTAGAAAGATGAGAGATCTTTGTGCATCTCTGGCCTTTCAAACTTCCTATAGTAATCATAGTTACTTTTCATGAACATTAGGAGTTCAGTGTTTCTGATGGTTATGAAGAAAAAAGTCTGTTAATTGTGCTATATGGAGCAAACTGACTGAGGGTTTTTTTCCTTATGCAGGTCTGTCCCTGGCAAAAAGATCCGAGGAAAAGTTCCAAAGAAAATACACAAGGCTGAACGAGAGAAGCTAAAACGCGATCATTTAAATGAGCTCTTCTTTGAGCTTAGCCATGCACTTGGTAAATGTTTTCCTAATCATCTGCTTTTGCAACAAAAATCTGTAATTTTAATGAGGTCAACTGTTATTTAGCTCTAAGGCTTCATTTGGACAGCTTTTTTCTTGCTTTATAAGATTGCTTCATAGTACAAAGAAAGCCATTTTAAAAAGCAATACGAAAGCTATCCCAAACGAAGTCTAAAACTGTAGAACAAAGTAAAGTAAAAGAAGATGCTTTTCATAAACACATTCCTTTGTTATTGGAATGGATAATGTAGCACATAATCCAAAGCATCATTATATTCATTTTTTGTGATGATATTTGATATAATTCATTAATTTTCAGATCCTGCTCGGCAGAATAATGGGAAGGCCACCATCTTATGTGATGCTACAAGATTACTAAGGGACCTTATCACACAAGTTGGATCTCTCAAGAAGGAAAATGTTGCCTTATTAAATGAATCTCATTATGTAAGTTACTACATAGATCTTTATATATACTTCTTTATCTATATTGAATTAATGTATTGAATGCCACACAGGTCACAATTGAGAAGAATGAACTGGAAGATGATAATGCTGCCCTCCACGGCGACATCGATCGGCTTCAGAACCAGATTCAGGAGAGCGTCGATCCCCCGCCGATCTCGGAACCCAACTGCTCAGCTTTGCCATCGCAGAACTCATCGGTCGCTCCTGTCTTTGTTCTTCCTTTAAGCCAAGATCTTCAGCAAGCCATTGCTGATGTTGCAGGGCCATTATCTTCACCGAAGCCTTCATCGCATATTAGTAGACCTCATGCAAGGTATCCAACTCCAGATTCATGGTCGCTGGAGTTCCTCTCCAGAAACCTGGAAGCTTCAGGTGGTGCATATTCAAATTGCTGGCAGGAGGGAGTGGATAAAGCTTAATTTGATGAGGATTGACTTTAATGTGTTGTATGTAGCATCAGTTCCAAGCTTTTATTATCAATGTTGAATAAATATATATATTTTGGTTGGCATTCTTGCAAAAATATATCCTATCAAATGACCTAATGTTCTGGTTTTTGAAGATGCATGTCAGTTAGTGATTAGGCTCTATTTTATGCTGTGATGTTGATAGGAAATACTTGATTTCACAAGTAACCCTAATGGGAAATACTTGATTTCGCAAGTAAATGTAGCTATAATTGGTAAAAACAGCGAGAAAAACTCAAGATCTTCGGTGAAAACAATCCAGAATAGTAGATCGTATTATAGGAATCAAATTAAAGCAAACACAAAGCAAAGATACAATTGATCCTCAATACGAGAGGAGGGTCATTCTTTCTCGATCTCTAGATGATGAGTCTAGAGCCCACGACACCAAAGAAAACTCCAAGAGAAATAATAATCAAGCATGTCCTAACCCTCACAACTCCTATTTAATACAATAATTCTCCCAAATCAATTCCTAATTCAAATTTCTCTCTCATGGATAGTCGCCCCCTTCTTTTCCTGTTTGGCCCCCCTAACCGCCGCTCTCTTGCTTTAATTGGCCCCTAGTGAACCCCCCTCGTGATTGGTGGCAAGATTTGAAATAAAGGAGGCGGCATTAGTCCACCTCCTATAAACCCCTGAACCGGCTTTGGCCGGTTCAGGTTGAACTGCGAAGCCGGTTCAGGTTGAACTGGCCTAACAGATGCATTGTAACTTTATGAAACGCAGTCGTCCTTACTCCATATGAATGCGCAAAGTTCTCTCACATGCTATAAAATTACAATGCTGAGAGATTTGGCAACTCTTGGCTTCTCATCATTCTCACAAGTGCATGGCAACTACTAATGTCTGAATTTTTTCTCTAATACAAGCATCATCATCTTACTGAAATAAAATATTACATAAACTGAAACCTGAAGCAGTTTTTTCAATGAAAATAAGAAAATTTCGGAATCAGCAACATCCAGTTTACAAGTCAAAGATCACTAAAGCAAAACATTGAGAAACTATGGAATAAAGAACAGAAAACAATATGTTACAATGTCTGCACTTATAATGCAAGAAATCAAGTCTCTAACTTGCAGGGAGGTTCTTCGATTTGCTTGAAAGAACCCTCACAATAATTGCTAATATCAAAATTCGTCACAGCATGAACTCCTCGGAGCTCAATTGCAGCAATGTCATAGGCTTCAGCAGCTTCTTCCTCGGTTTCTGAATTCGCAAGGCCAGAAAGCACATAGTAAATAAACTCTATGGTAAAAAGGATAAATATTGATTAAGGTTTTATTTGGGACGGCATTTTTAATACTTTTAAAAGCAGCTTTTTAGTACAAAATTTAAAATATTTGTACTAAAAAAACTGTTTTAAGCAGCAGTAAGAAAGCCGTCTCAAACGAACCTTAAATTTAATCTCACCAAATGTTCCAAGATATATGTCTTTGACATCCCTGCTCTCACCAACACGACCAATTCGGGCCTGCCATTTCCCATCTTTCCTTCTTTTAGGTCAAAAGGGAATTTTGTTAGAATCTTTCTACTAAAAGAAGAGGAATGAATCAATTAAGAAGAATATTTTTATGCTCAAATTGACGAAATAAGAAGAATTGGATCAACCTTGTGACTCCTCTGTAAACAGAAGCTCCTCTTGAGAAACAACTACTTTGTCTGGAATATTGATAGCCCAGAGAAACAAATTGCAAATCAATTACTTGTATCGTGAATAAGAATGCCAAATTACTAAAGTTACATAGGAAAAGATCAATCATATTACCTTCTAACATGAACGACATACTCATCCTGAGTCATGGACTCCATGATCTCAAGCTCTTTCTCATACTCAGAAACCTGCAAATAGAAACTTGCAGTTAACCAATATTAAGAACAAATGGCTTACAAATTGATATATATTTAATGATCTTACGGGGAAGTTAAGCTTAGAAGTATGGCTTGGACCACAATATTTAAGAACTGCAAGATCATGTGCTCTAGCTGCCTTCTCCTCAGAGTCATAGCTTCCTACAGGCCAAACAATTTTATAGTCTGTCAGTCACACAAACCAATATTTCAGTATAAACCTTACTGATCACGCTTACCTAAATAAACTGAAGCACCAGCAGAGTAGAATGACCACCACCAGTCGCATTGACAATGCAAGATTCCAGATAAAGATGTGGTTAGAAACAAATATAAAGTAATTTAGGGTTTAGGAATAACTTTGCAAACACTTTTTAGAATCAAAATCAAATGATTAACTTTGAATGAGAATGGAGATTTGTATGTGGCAGTATGGAGTGTCCAGCATGCCTGTCAATTATGAACAAACAATGATTCATGCCAGTGTCAAAACCACTATCCACCCATTCCAAGAGCCCTCCACCCACTGCCAACCTCTCTGAATCTGCTAATTGCTTGAAGTAGATAACTATTACTGTTTGTCAGTAATAGCATACTACAATTTTTCAATAACCAGATGACATCAGGAAGTAATCAGATTGAGAGAGTTCAACAGATGTCTGGTATTAATAAGATTTAGTTTTCAGTAATCATATGCTACCAGAAAAAAGCCATATTAAAATACAAATAGAAACGACAGGGCTAAAAAATAAAGGCGCAATTTTAGAAAGAAGCAAGGTATTTGTTAAAATTAGTTTAAGAAGCATATTTAAAAGAAAATTTAAAAAAGGAGCAAAATAGCTAAATCAATTGGCGTATTCTATGTATTCAGTAAAAAATAATAATTGGCATGGAGAGAGAGAATGTGAAAGAGTGAGAGAGAGAGAAATAAGTAGGCAGAGAGAGAAAAAGGGGAGAGAGAGAGGGCCACATCATGAAAAAACAAGAGAGAAAGATAGATGAAAGATATATATATTATATTATGTAAATTTTATTTTAAATTAAATTACTAATATTAAAAAAAACATTTACATAATATTATATATAAAAAAGTACATCATTCATATCTTTCTCTCTGTTGTCTTTCAATGCCGTTTGGCCCTCTCTCTCCCCCTTTTCTCTCTCCCTCATCTTGTCTCTCTCTCACTCTTACACATTCTCTCTCTAGATGACAATTTTTTTTAACTGAATACGCTGAATCATTTAGCTTATTCAGAAAACGCCGAATCATTTAACATATTCAGAATACGCCAAATGATTTGGCTATTTTGCTCCTTTTTAAATTTTTTTTTAAATGCGCTCCTTAAACTAATTTTAAGAAATGTCCGGCTTCTTTCTAAAATTTGGCCAAAAATAAATTTCATATCTAATAAGTATAATTTGAAAAGGATAGGACTAACCTATAAACGACAGAAAATTCTAGGATCTTAGAGCAACTCTTCAAAAAAAAGAAAAAAAAAAAACTATTGTAGCACGAAATCTTTAAAGATTCAAAATGCACTAATTACATTCACATTGTACAGAACTTTAAAAATCAGTAAAGTTCGAAAAAAACAAATCACAGTTGCATCATAGGTTAATCTTAATCAATTGTGAAAGAAAAAATAGATGGCAAGATGCAGATATTCAAAAATGCCGGAAGAATGGGGGATGGATGTTGTGGAAGAGAAAAGCTGGGAGATGAACGATAAAGAAATTCATGTTAGCATGCATACCTTTTTTTTATAATATCTCTAACTAGCCGTTATGGAATAAAAATATGAGAAATTAGCTATAATAGGAACATTTGGAATCACTTTAGGTGGTTAAATCTATTACTCAAGTGAGGTAAGATTTTTGAACTTGCTCAAGTAAAGAAGCCACACGCCATTAGGAGTTTTCCCACAGCTGCAATGCTAAAATCTCTCATTCACCCAACTTCGGCCCTACTAAAACTAAAGTTGATGGAGAACTTAAGACTCAACATACCGAATTTAAGCAATAAATTGAAACCAATTAACTTGGCTAAATTTTTCAAAAATTATGCACAAATGAGAATTACTAAAACACAATAATAATGAATAGAGAAGAAAGATTCATAAATCCAGCACCACATACTTGGATAAGCTAAGAAGAAAGATTCATAAATCCAGCACCACAAACTTGGATAAGCTAATAATGATGATAGGTATGGCATGCAAAATTTCTTAGGCCAAACCTTAAGCTTAAGAAAGCGAACATTTTACAACAACAACAACAACAACAACAATATCAAGCCTTTGTCCCACTACGTGGGGTCGGCAACATGAATTCTTTTTCACCATTGTGTCATATTAAAAGTTAAATTCTCCTTTAAATCTAATAAAGAAAGATCATTTCTAATATTTTCTAACCAAATCTTTTTAGGTCTACCTCTACCTTTCTTAACATAAGTCAAATCTAATACCTCAACTTTCCTAATGAGAATTAGGAACATTTTACAATTATCCTAAAAATAATTAGTAAAATACCCAACTAAAATCCTATTAGGCTTCCATCGCTAGTAATCAAGGAATATTGGTCATTTCTCCTTCAGAATGAACCAAAACAGCTCGGTAAGTCCATCACTAGAACCCTTCTATGAATCGGATCCTTGTTTTACTGCAGCTTAGGACCGGAAAGGAATGCATAAATATATCTTTCCAGCTCTTTTGATCTAAAACTATAGCACCTATGAGGCTATGAGTAAGACAACATAAAATGCGGTTGGATTTCCAGAAAAAAGCGTATAAGATCTGGATGAAATTGAATCCGAATATTCTATGAAATCGTTGATGTGGTAAGCCAGCCTATACTTTCATGGCATTTCTCTAATTTCAAAGCACAAATTCATATTCACAAGCCAATAATGCAAGAAACAACACTCTGTTTGAACTGATAGTTCAAAATCATAAGCCAGGCATGTAAATTATACCATGTTTTCCCTTCCGCTTTCTGCCTTCTACCTTACAGGTGTTATCCCATAGGTGTGCTTCGAATTTCCCACTCCATTTTAGCCTGAACCATTATACATAAGCAGGAGTTAAGCATTCAAATCGTCATATTCATAAATAATCTCAAAAACTAAGTCTAGAGCTAAGAAGTGAACAATCCACTAACTCACTTAGTGACTCCATGGTAGCATGAAGATCTCGGTACGGCGTATTTCCTCATTGCTGCAGCAAGAAGAGTGCCAACCTTCTTCTCTCCGCTGTTTGCAGGCACCACCGGCATAATTTCCATAGAATTACCTTCTAGAAAACTGGTGTTCTGTCCAGCAAAACTTTCTTGAGCTCCAGCTTCCTGATGGCCCACTGATTGTCCCTCTACCCTATCAGCATCTGGCTGTCCAGATGCTACCGCGCTGGTCTCAAATCCGGAAGGCATAGAAAACGCACTACTATCATTTGGACGAGGCAGACCGATTAAATATTCGGCGTTGCAGTATTCTCGAGATTTCTCAGAGTCGACCAAGCCGTCTCCAACGTCGTTTAAGAAGAGAGACCGATCCTTCTGATTCATAAACGAATCAATAACTTCCTCAGGATCCAGCGACTCCCTCTGTTCAATCATTCGGAAGAAACCAAAAACCTATCGTTCACCGGATGGAAGCGAGATTCGAGAATCCTCAACTAATGATCAGCACGGCCGACGTTTTGGATACTAATCCAGTTGCATCTCTGAGTGGTGTACTTTCAGCGCAGACGGTAGGGTTTAGAAACAGGAGAGGATGGGAAGAACAGGAAGCAAACCTGCGAGGAAGACGAAGTGCGGTAATTTCACAAGGGGTGGCTGGATCCCTGAGCGAGCGAGCGCTGCCTCGCCCTTTGCCAATGTCGGGGCCTTCAAAGAGTGCCTTGAGATCCACGCCGGGCAGATTTTAAAGCACGACCTGTCACGTGGACTGCACCGATCTCCAGGCAACCGGTGTGTGGGGACCTGTCGTACGAAAAATCCTCGATTGAACGCGTGGATCAGAATCTGATTCACTCGTTAAAAATAGCGGATCTCTATGATTTAATAACAAAGAATTTTATGTTATATCCTTATTAAACATTTTTTTTTTGTTAAACTTAAAACATATTAAATGGAGATTTTGCAATTAATAATAATAAAATAGTTGGCAACATAAATAAAATAAAATAAAAATATCTTAAATTTATTTATGAAGTCATTCGTTTTTTAAAGTGAAAAAAATATATATGTTATTGTATCTTTCATATTGATACCTTATTATAAAATTAGTTTGATCGGGCACGAATCTCGAGACAAAATCAAGTCGAAAACTTCAAAAATTAAATCCGGGAGCATCTGAACTCCGATTTCAGTAAACTTATTGTCAAACTGAGCGTCACGAAAATACAAATCCAACGACACCAAATTCAACTCAATTCGAGCCCAAATGAGCCCAAATCAAACACCTGAATGTTGTTGGAAAGTTCGTACCACAATTTGAGTTACCAAATGGTCTCCAATTTTAACGAGCTTGTAGTCGAATCAAACGGATCGACGAGACGAATCCAACGAGCCCAAGATTGCCAAATTCCGACATCATTAAGACCTTCAAATGTCTAACGAACGTTGCACGATCAAGAGATTCAATATCAATCATCCATTCGACCACTCCCTATTTGCCCCTGATCTCACACCTATTTACAAGTTATGCCACTCCATAAAATCTATAAATAGACCCCTCATTTCTCATGAGAGGGGGCCCAAGCAAGAAGAAGAGAAGAGAGAAGGGAATGATAGGAGAGAATAACTCCTCCTCGATCACCGCCAGAGTTCTTCCCGCCGCCGGAGTTCTTCCCGCCGCCCGAGTAACGCCGGAATTCGGCCGGACATCCGGGAAACGCCAGAATTCTTCCTAAGTAACATCAAAGTTCTGCTCGACGCTGAAATTCAATCCAACTTTCAGATGACACCTGAATTTTGCCCAATCTCCTTAGTGACGCCGGAACTCTGCTCAACTTTGTAATTGAGTCTCAACTTAGAAGAGATTCATTGTAATCTGGTCGTCCTAACTTTGTGGACGAATCAGCCTCTTGTATTTCAAACAAAATACTAGTGAAACTATTTCAACTGGGCGAGGCCCCGTGTTTTTTTTCCCTTTCAGGATTTCCAAGTAAAAATTCTTGTGTTATTGTTTCTTCTCTGTTTGTGTGCTAGATATTCGTACAACGCTAAGACGAAAATTTCTTAACTCTACCGCCGCGTATATTCTAGTCTGCAACACATATATTGTCTTTTTTTAATTGAAACAATACATAATAATTATGTACATCAATAATCTATATACTATTTTTTTTTTTTTAATATATGATAAGCATCTATCAAAAAAATATTATGAGTCAATCATATAAAGAATATAAATTATTTAAGATAAAAAAAAATAAAAGCATGAATATAATCTAATTAACAACCATTAGTTTTTCTTTAATTCATTTAAATGAATAATCTAATTTGCTTCGTCTACAAAGATCTGCACCTTCATTCGTTGATCATGTATGAATGAATTGTGTCTCATATGAGTACCGAATAAAAAGTGATGCATCTCTCTCTCATACATCACCCACATCATCAAGAGTGAGATTTAAGTTATGAGTTTAGATTAGTTAATTTTATGTTATATTTTACTTTAATATAAAACTAACTTTTCATAGGTATAAGTCTAGTTGTTTTAATGTATGGATTAGTTAGGTTTATGTATAGTTCATATAGATCACATTTTTTTTTTTTTTGGGTTCATTCAGAGATTTGGGCATTATGATAGATACAAATAAAGAAGAGGTTGTTCAAGTGAACAAATTTAAGGTAAACATATATAATAACCCTTAATTTAATTCTTATTTAGCTAGCACGAGTGAGACTCCTAAAGTTTATATTAGATGAAGCTAGGGATGTCAATATTGGACCCGACCAGAAAATTTCGGGTTCGTGTTGACCCGAACCCGAAGCGGGTTGGGTTCATGTTCAGATTTTCGACCCATTTCAAAAAACGGGTCGGGTTCGGGTTGAACCGGGAACCCGAAAATGACCCGGATGACAAGGTTTCCCGCGTCATTCTGTGGTTCTGCCCAGTCGCGTGACGCGATCCAGCCGCAGGCGCGGTCCCACGGACCCGCGTCCCACAGTCGAGTCTGCCGCGGCGCCTCACGTGGTGCGTCCCGCGGTCGAGTCCGCCAAGTCTACCTCGCGTCCCGCAGTCGAGTCCGTCGTGAGTCCCACGGTCGAGTCCACCGCG